CCCCCCCCCCCCCCCCCGCCTGCTGCATTTATTTTTCAACTGAAATTGCGTAAAATCAACCTAATTGCAACCTAAATTTATTCATTTGACCTTTGACCTTGTACCCATTGGCCAGGTCACATTTTAAGGGCTTAGGTTTCAAATTGTTTATATGATTTTCATGTTCTTGAAAAATTCTAATTGTTTTTATGACTTCGCCACTGAGTAGGATTTATATTTATATTAATTATCATTGTAACCCACAGATGAACTGATTAGATTTTGGAACTTTGGAATATCTGAAATAGTTTTTCTTCAATAGCTTCCTTCACAGTTAACGTATATTTACCTTTACATTTACAGCATTTGGCAGATGCTCTTATCCAGAGCCACTTACATTTATCTCATTTAAACAGCTGAGCAGTTGTGGGTTAAGGGCCATGCTCAAGGGCCCAGCAGTGGCAGCTTGGCAGTGCTGGGATTTGAACTCACAACCTTCAGATCAGTAGTCCAACATCTTTACCTCTGAGCTACCACTGCCTTATATTTATTTTAAAGGTAGTTCTGGTGAACAAATTAGTAACTAGAAGGACTAGACTTCTTGGTGGGGGAGGCGTCAGTGTCGACGCCGTTGCCATCGAGTTCGACTTGTTTACTGTCTTCCATTTTCTTCCTCTTACTGTCTTCTCTAATTTAAACTTGACTGAAAAACTAAACATTACTTCTAATATTGTACGTCTTGACTGAAAAAAAAAACTGTGTGGAATATCTGACAGTTTGACCTTGTAGGGACATTTGGCTGGTCTCCATGAGGAAAACTGCTTTTTTTCAGCTTTTATTTAAAAACACACACAAAAAAAACCCCAAACCTTAAAGAGCCCAAATGTTTCCTTTTGGTTACTGAGGTTATGGATAGATTTAGGTGTAGCATCTAAGGTCCTCAAGGATAGTAAGGGTGTGTGTGAGGGGATGTGTGAGGGGATGTGTGAGGGGATGTGTGTGGGGATGTGTGTGGGGATGTGTGTGGGGATGTGTGTGGGGATGTGTGTGGGTATGTGTGTGTGGGTGTGTGTGTGGGTGTGTGTGTGGGTGTGTGTGTGGGTGTGTGTGTGGATGTGTGTGTGGATGTGTGTGGATGTGTGTGGGTATGTGTGTGGGTATGTGTGTGGGTATGTGTGTGGGTATGTGTGTGGGTGTGTCTGGGTGTGTATGAGAAAGAGAGAGAGTCAGTCTGTTAGGGGATTGTTAATATTTATATTGTTATTTTTTCTTGTTAAGGACTTTTTTTTTAAAAATGACCCTCTGACCAACAGCCCCTTCTATGTGTCATGGAAAATGGTTTCCTAGAAACAGAGGGAATGCTGCTGGCATTTATTTTGCATGCTCAAGCTTTGTTTGGACAGTTACGAAAGGCCTGCAATATTCATGAACAGTTCATGAGAAGGTGTATAATAGGTTCTAAAGGTGACCTTGTGCCAGGTGATGCTGAAGTATAGAGCTGTTTTCAGTCAACACCACAGGCCTTTGTCTGACTGGAATACCTATTAATGGTGTGTGGGTGTGTGGGTGTATGGGTGCACATGTAGTACATAGGCGTGTGAGTTTCTCTTTTCCTCATTCACACCCCCTCCCCCTCACACACACCCCTCTCTCTCTCTCTCTCTCTCTCTCTCTCTCTCTCTCTCTCTCACACACACACACACACACACACACACACACACACACACACACACACACACACACACCTTGTTATGTGTCTCAATCCTCTGCCCTGGAGCCCATAACACTGCTCTCTGACCTCTCTGCTCATGTCTTTCTGAAAATATCATCTCTTCCCTCCTGCTTTCTTTCTTACGGCCTCGTTGTGTGTGTTAGTGAGCTGAGCGTTGCAGGATAGTGCTCTATATTGGTGTAAGCCATTAAACTCCTGTTACATCAGCGTATTTGGCAATATTCCCGTCATTGAGCTTTCTGACTTGTGTAGTCTCACAGCAGGAAGGACACCAATATACACTGTCAGCAGCACACACACATATCGTCACAGCTCCTGTCAGCATCACACATCTCACTTGCTGATGCTCAGGCCTGAAGCTTTCTGCCTCTCTCCCTTCATTAGCAGCTAAAAATAGAGTGCAGGCTAACAGATAGGAGCTGTAGTTAGAGTATTGATTATGTCCTGGTTGTCCACAGCGAGTGCAGTAAAAACATTTTTATGAAAATATGATTGCTGAAAAACTGCTGAACAAATTTACATTTAAATTAAAACAACTGCAGTATTTTTTTTTTTTTACAAACTTAGCCATTAATATTTTTTATTAAAAATAAATAAATAAATAAGTAACAAATCAAAGATGACATCTGTCAGATTTACTAATTGTAATAGTTCCAAATAGGTTAATTTGGTTCTGTGACCACACATGGGAACTGGATTAGTATAGCCAGAGGATTAGTATAGTCTGAGATCACTTGTATGCTCCCATGTTGACTTGAAAGCAGATAAATTAAGACTTGAAGGCGTTATCAGCCAGTCAGTTGTTGGCTAGTGTGAACAGTATTAAGCCCTGCACAGGCTACTAGCTGAATTAAATACACAGTGTAGGAAAATGTGTATGAATTAGTTTAATGTGGTAAAAAGATACTAAATCGTGGCCACAAAATTGTTCTGCTTGTGTGCGCTTTACTATATTCATACTCTTTACTTGCTGTTTAAATTTCTCATATTAATGAAATTGGTTTATTTTTGTGGTCTGTTTAAAAGAACATGCACACAACTTATAAGATAAGTTGCGTTTAAGCTGGTGTACTTCAGTCTCTGTTATGGATAGATGCATATGAAAGAAAAACATCCAAATCATGTGGAATATAGAGTCCTCTTAAAATAGCCGTGTGTGTCAATGACACACTCCCACTTGAAGGTATACCTTCATTAAAAATCCAGATCTATATCAGAGATTAATGGATTAGTCTCAGCCTCAGATAGTTCATGGCCTACATATTGGATATACTTGTTGCACACTTTTCTGACCACAAGCTTCAGAATCTTCAAGGTTGCAATGTTATTGTCTCTCAGCACTTCTGTGCGTGTATACACATACGAACACCAGTTTCTGAAGGGAAAACAAACACTGTGACTCATGGGACTTTTTAGTGCCAAGAACTAGTGAAAACTAGTTCACAGCATCTTTTCTTGAAAAGTATATTAAGAGTTTTTTTTTTTTAGGTATTTATTGGCAGGTATATGTGATACTCTCGCAAGTTTGTTGGCTGGCTCTGGGAAAAGTTGTGATTTGTTATAGAGTAACTAAAAGCAGAAGCTAGATCTCTGGCTTTCTTGATTAAATGAACTCCAGATACCTAAACTTAGCTGTAACGTGCTTGTGCAGTTTATTATTCTTTACGTTTTCTTTAGAGAAGAACACACATCAAACCAAACATGGATAGAGTGTTAATTCAAGAACTCACATTAGCAAATCGAGAGCATGAAAGGGTTCACTCAGTGATCGACATACGAAAAACAGGGCCCATAGACCAAATGAACAAATAAACCAAAACAGCGTAATAGTGAACAATCAAGAGGTGCTGTGTCACAAACCAATCCTGTAGTACAAAAAGTGTTAATTATATTTTATTAAAAGATTCTGTAGGAGCCATAAAGGTACATATATGAAATTATTGGATAATTTGTATCAATCTTTTCATTATATGATTTGTTTCAGTGTCTGTTTCAATACATGTATCTGTATTCTGTGTTCCCCCGGGGGTGGATGATAGGTATAGCACCTGCCTTTGCTACTTCCTGTGGGCAACCGTTTTAAACAGGAAGTGAGGTGGCAATGGGGTGTGGAAAGGGAGACAGTTTTTTGACCTGCATGTGAGAGTACCTTGGAATGGCGTAGATCCCTTGTTTGTACCTTTGTGATTTCTTTATTCCAATAAAACGTCAAGATTTTCTTTACTTGTTGCGAGTAGCATCAAACACTCTGTCCCGCACAGAAGTGGCTAAATTTCATTGAACGGAAGCCATTACAGATTCATAAATTCAAACCAAGCTGATTCAGAAGGCAGTTCTTTGTCTTCTTTAGTCTCCCATTCACTCGTTTTTTGAAGCAATTTTTGTCTGAACCACACTTGACTTTTTCATTACATTGACTTTCTCTCTCCCTAATTACCCCCCCCCCCCCCCCCCCCCCCCCCCCCCCCCCCCCAATTTTCTCATCAATATAGTTGACCCAATTAAGGCGTAACCATGGAAACCATCTGTTACAACCAGATTCATATTTAATATAACTGTCAACCTGAAGGTCACATTAATGGATTAATAGACCTGGTTAAAATGCTGAGTTAATTAGAGTTAATGTGGCTGTCATTTTAAAACGAATTGCTATTTATTCACTAAAATCAGCTAAAGAATGTGTTAAAATGTAATGCTTTAAAAATGTCTCGTATTGCCAGAGAAATCCTTACTCCCGCATGCGCAATGACACACATTGTGTTTGTTTTTATGGGTGGGAAGGGAGGTTTTGTTTTGTTTTGTGTGTTTATCGGTTGTGTTGCTTATCTCTGTTTTTTTTTTATATATATTGCTTTGACCCGTGGAGAGTCAGACTGCTATCCGCACTGCATTATAACACTGCAACCCACTGACTGCAATGAATTCTGGGGCTCAAAAGAACATGCCCTTCCTCTTCATAGCTGGTGTTTTCATTGATGTGAGCAGTCTATAGACTCTCACCTTCTTGCTGTTTCTCCTCAGAGCAGCTTGAGGTTTTTGCAGAATGCTGTTGTTTTAAATGATTTCTAGTGAAATATTAAGCTGCTGTTTAAAGAATTACATGATCATTACCACACTGAACAGTGCATCACATGCGGGCTGATGACTTCATTCACCTTCATCATAGTTAGCTTAATTACATTATGCTTCATAAACAATCCTATATGTAGTACTTCAAAATAATCATATATATAAAATACTTATCTATACTATATATTTATATATATACATCATTAAATATTATATAATTAAATAATTTTTATGACACATACTACATATCACAATGTTTAGTTTTTAGTTTAGAGGATACGCAAATAAATAATTAATTGATCAAACTGACAATTATATGTACAATCACAGAAATATATTAAAAATTCCAATTAAATAATCAATTTTTACAAACAATATTTAGTAGTATTTAGCAGTATAATATAGAACATAAATAAAATTGGTAGAACCAAATTAGATTTAACTTCCAGTCAGCTACTTGGACACTGTTTGTAGCTTTGTAGGTTTTCTAGATAAACTCCAGTGATACCCACAAAACTCTCACAAAACTGTATGTAGGCATTATTTATTGAAATAAGGATATTATCATTTCACCCGCCCTTATTTTCCAAGCTCCTGTTACAAATAACTTTTTTTTTTTAAATCTGGAGCCAGTAGTGTACTTGATGGAGTTAAGAAGGACATTTATTCTGTTATTCAGAGACAATGTTGTATTTGTCTGTCCCTGTCTGTGAGCTTTGTCCTTTTAAACATGAATATAC